TATGGTTCTAGTTTCAGTTGGCTTTCTTACTCACTCTTTCCTCTTTTTTACCTAATTATTGTGGTTCCCCTTTCCCATTTATCTTTCTTATCTTTACTGCTTTCTCACCGCTAATTGTTTGGTCAATACCTTTAACCAACCATAGACATGTAATAGATGACTCTGCACTTTTGTGTGTTTAGGTGCCGCGTGTGGTGCCAAAGTGTGATCTCTCACAAACTGTTCGACCATGTGGTTCTGGTTTTCATCTTCCTCAACTGCATCACCATTGCCCTGGAAAGACCTGATATACAGCCTCACAGCACGGTAAGACACACACACACACACACCCTTACTGTACAAGGTGTCTAAATGCTTTTCAGTCGTAAAACACTCCCTTATTCCTGAATGCAACTTTCTACACTGAAGTGGAGTTATTTACAGGTAAATAGAAAACAGTAAACCCAGAACGGAATCTTTTATTCAGTTGTAACTAGTGGATTCAGCTATTTCATAATTTACTGAGCTTTCAAATGAATACCTTCTTTTTTGGGCTCACCATGTGAAACTGTTTTGGTTGCCTGAAAGATCTTTCCATTTCACAGAAATATCTAGAGAAACCTTTCACTGATTTCCACTGGTTACTTAGTGCTGAAATGTGAAACAAGACCCAATAGAAAAGTTCCCTGCACATGAAACTGACTGGAGGCTTTTGGGGCTGATTTACCTCAGTGGGCAAACTGTAGGCACACAGATACAATACATTACTCTCTTAAAAACAGGCTAATTGTATAAAGCAGCTGGTACTTGCTCTGTTTAGAGAGAACATGTGCTGTTATGAATACAAAATGTCTAGTACGCTACAGTTATATTTATTATTATATATATATATATATATATATATATATTCTTGTCTCACTCTCTTCTTTAGGAGCGAGTGTTTCTGAGTGTGTCCAACTACGTTTTCACTGTGATCTTCCTGGCAGAGATGGCCATTAAGGTAAACATCACAGTTTTATTTCCATCAGTGTGGTGAATCATCCAGAGCTTTTACTGCTGTTGACAGTTTACAGCAGTTTATGATTGCATGGGAAAAAGGTATATTGAATCTAAAATGTGGTTTATTTTTAACTTAGACAGATAGATAGATAAACATACATTAAACTAAAATTAAAAATAAATTAACTTATAACACAGTAGCTACAGTAAACAGTGCAAACAGTGGAGTGGAATGGAGTGCAAATGGAGGTAGAAAT